AGGCTTCAGTGGTTGTAGCTCATCTCAGTGGTTATCCTCCATGATCTAAAGTGAAATACATCTCCTGGAAATCTTAACCAGAGAAATTTCTAGGTAGTTAATAGAAATCAGTAAATTCGTTTTCCTGCCTAGGAGTAGGGTCATTTTCCCATTCTCTTTTTTATGAAAAGTTGTACAATTAGAAATATATACTAAAAAATGAGAGATTTCGTGGGATCACATACAAAAATATTTCTACTATGGCTAAATCTCAAACTGTGGCCATGTGACCCTTGAGAACTCTTAATAACTTGTACATTGGAATGTTGTCATGAAATGTGAACATTTAAATTCTGATTATAAACATTTTTATTTTATGTATATTGCATGTCACAATAGTGATTTAGATCCAGTTAAATTGCAAAGTAGGGATACTTGCATTCAAGAAAGTAACTATGGTAATAAAATCATTGTTCTTCCAAAATATGAATGCTAAACTATTACTTTAATTGCTATTCTTTTCTTGAAAGTTACATACTAGGTATTACTTTTAGTTACAAATATTTCATTATTTCTCACTCATATGAAAGTATACATGTCTGGATAAACCAGAGTATCTATTTGTTTATAGCATAAAGTTACTTAAGGTGATAAGAAAATACATACTACCTTGTACATATATGTGACATATCCTGTAGATACATGACGTATTTTTTAGACATTGATATTCTCAGTCAACATCAAGGGAGGCAGTTTACTCAGTGTTTAAAAAGAGAGGTTTTGAATTCAGACATTACTTTATCACTGACTAGCTGTGTGTGTGACTTTGCCTATTTCCCCTGTTTTCTTTAGGATATCTCTACTAAGATACAGAGAGGTCGTGGGATTACAGAGATAACTTAGATGTGAATCACAGTCCAAAGAGCGGGGAGGCACCACCTGGTTTAGTCTTAAACAGGCAGGAAAACATAGAGCTAATAGCCACTTTCTCTAGTCTTCCTCTCCTGAACTAAAAGTCGCTAATAAAACCTTTGATTATTTATGGCGCTTGTTGTTTTCTTTCCAAATTTACGACTACATAGTCATCTTTGACTCCTTCCTTTGCCTCTCTTGAGATTTTTTGATTGGCCACATTTCTTTGCCTCATTACAAAGAAGTTCTATTTCTTCCAACTAGACTCTGGTTATGTCAAACGTAACTTGGTTTTAAAAATCTCTCAAAGGCAGACATCTTACCACTTCAAATTATGTTGCATTTTCCACAGATATTAACATAGGTAGCTCATCAGAGTGGATGGTCAGTAAGTGTTCAACTGACAGTTACAAATGATGTCCAATTTTTTCACTGTAGGTTGTTGTTGTTTATTCCCTAAGTCATGTCTGACTCTTTTGTGGCCCCATGGACTCTAGCCTGCCAGGCTCCTCTGTCCATGGGATTCCCCAGGTAAGACTACTAGAGTGGGTTGCCATTTCCTTCTCCAGGGGATCTTCCTGACCCAGAGATCAAAACTGCAACTCTTGTTTAGCAGGTGGATTTGGGCTCTTTACCACTGAGACACCTGTTTTTTTTGTACCTTTAATTTGCATTGCAGAGATTCACTGATTTAGGAAAGTTTCTAAAAATCAAATACTTAAAACACATTAATACTACTCATTTTCTTTGCCATTTGCTACTGTTTAAGTTCTGTGGACATTTGGGGATTGGAAAACAGCTCTACAAACCACAAAGAGGTCATGAATGTTGACAACACTGAATCACTCTGAAAAATAAGCACCTGCTCTTATTTACAGTAATAACAAATGTCTGGTCTTTGTACAGGTCAAACAGGTTTTTTAGATTTTGTAAAAGGTAATTATTTGATATTAAGGCTGTAGCTGTCTTTGGACTTTGGTAAAGAGATCTGAATCAAGTATTGGGGGCTTCTGATATTATGATCCCTTGGCTGAATATTAATGGGAAAAGTTTAGGGAGTAAGGAACGTTTCAGTGCAGTACACACCTACATATCATAGACATGTTTTCACTTGCAATGAGTATAAAGAACAAGTCTAAGAAAACATCCAGATTGCCACAAAATTACATACTTAATTATGCTGTTTTTAAAAATTATGTTTCAGTTAACCACTGAGGTAAAAAGCTGGTTAAATATCTTAAAAACTTGGTAAAATAGAAAGTAAACTATGCTAGCTGTTTACTTACATGCTGGCCACCCACCCATATCAGGTTGTAAGCATCTTGTTAGCAGGAATTGTTTTTTTCAGATGGCATTTACCCTAGTATTTGGCCCATAACAGCTGTCAAATAATGAAAGATTGATTGCCTGATTTATATAACCCTAAACACCCTGGTGGCTCAAATGGTAAAGAATCTGTCTGCAGTGCAAGAGACCTGGGTTCACTCCCTGGATCAAGAAGATCCCCGGAAGAAGGGAATGGCAACCCTCTCCAGTATTCTTGCCTGGAGAATCCCATGGACAGAGGAGACTGGCAGGCTACAGCTTACGGGGTCGCAAAGAGTCAGACATGACTGAGAGACTAACACAAACACATATATGTTTTTGAGACCTATAAGGAAAATATGTTATTAATTCCTGTCCAAATGAAATATAATTTGGGTAAACATTCTAGCACTGCATTGTCCAATATGGCAGTCACTAGATATATGTTAGCCACTAGAAATGCTGCCGCTGTTGTTAAGTTGCTTCAGTCGTGTCCAACTCTGTGCGACCCCATAGACGGCAGCCCACCAGGCTCCGCCGTCTCTGGGATTCTCCAGGCAAGAACACTGGAGTGGGTTGCCATTTCCTTCTCCAATGCATGGAAGTGAAAAGTGAAAGTGAAGTCGCTCAGTCGTGTCCGACTCTTAGCGACCCCATGGACTGCAGCCCACCAGGCTCCTCTGTCCATGGGATTTTCCAGGCAAGAGTACTGGAGTGGGGTGCCATTGCCTTCTCTGAGCCACTGGAAATACTTAAATTAAAATTAATAGGGACAAAATAAAAGCATCAGTTCCTCAGTGGCATAATCATATTTTAAGTGCTCAAAAACCAAATGAGCTATGGGAACTTGAATAGGATTTGCACACTACTGTTGTGTAAAAATTGTATAAATCTTAATTACGTTGAATTGGTTCATGGTGCTTTTCAGGTCTACTATATCCTATTTTTCTGTCTAGTCTCCATTAATTTTTGAGAGTTTGATATTGAAACTCCAACTAAAACTCTTAATTTATTTACTTTAAAATAACTGCAATATATAGAGAAACTATATGTAACTTCGTTCTGTGTTTTTCAAGTCTCCTGCAAATTGCTTTCATAATTTAAAACAGAAAGAGGAAAAAAGAAAAAAAATCCAAATAAGGGTAGGAAGTATTATATTGGATAGAGCAGATATCAAACATTTCCTTCAAAGCAAAAGTCCCACTGGACAGCACTCTTCTAGATAGTGTGGCATTTTCTTCATATGAGTAAAAACAAAACCTCACCATGCTGTTATGTAAATTCCAGTGTACGTAGATGATTTTTGCAAATATGAGTACCCTTGATTTTTAAGGAGTCTTGGGAAGATCCCACCTACCATATATTTATCAATCTGTATATTTATAATAGTCATAACCCTTAATGGCTCATTATGAGTTTTTAAATAAATGTAATAGGCTATGGAGAAAAAAGTCACCATAAACAAGTGGGTGTCATGCTTGTGTTTGCTGAATATTCAGATCCCATATACGAGCTGCCGGGATCTGATCCGAAAGGTCTGAGGTATCTTAATGAAAATATATTATTAGATATCCCTAAGTGATTCTGATGCACATGGCCTACAGGTCAAGTACTGAAAATTCTAAGGATTATATTCTTGTTTTACTTATTAAAAAAAATATGCACTGACTTTCTAGGTAATGGGTCCTATTCTAGGCACCAGGGCTATAAAGACAAAGAAAGAGAAGGCACAAATGGAGGAGATATTTAGGAGGATGAGGAGGAGAAGGGGAAGGGAAAGGAGAAGAAGAAAAGAGAGGAGGATGAAAGAGGAGAGAGGAGAATGGACTTGAGAGATAGGAAGAAAGGAAAATGGACAAACTTGATTGGATGCTGGGCAGGCAATAAGCAAGAGAAAAGAGTCTGGGATGGCATTTAGCTTTCTAGCTAATATTGGTAGCTACTAGGACCATTCATTTAAATAGGGAAACAGAAAGAATAGCAATTGGAGGGACAAGAAGATGTCTCACTTTTGATATATTGGACCTGTATGCTGCCTCTGGCATGTCAAAGTGGAGGCATTTAGAAGGTAATTGTGTATACAGTTTTAGAGCCTTACAAATTTGGGATGCACCAGTGTCACATGAAACTGCAGGAGTGAATGAAATCATACTGTAGAGAGAAGAGCAGGCTCAGAAAGTTGGGAATTTGGTGGGCATAAGTATTTTAGGCAATGATTCTTAACTCTTTGGATTTATGACCTTTCTAAAAATTAGATGACTTCTAAAAATGCCAAATTTCACAAGTTTACAAAATTCTGTAGTTTCCAAGGTGCTGAGACCCCTGTTGCTAAATCCCAAATCCCACAGATTTCAGGTTTCAAATGGTGAAAGAAGGGAAGCCCATGAAAGACAGTGAGAAGGAAGCTAGATGGTAGGGAAATCGCATTTCTAATTCATGGAGGTGTGTTCGTCTGACTTAATGCAACAGTATATATAAACTTCTATAAATGAGGAATCTGCTTCTCTTTTATTCCCCTTTGTAAAATCAGGAAAGCAAGAATGCACATATAGAAGGATTATACTGAATTCTCTTTTTCTTTATAGTCCCTCAGAGCTAGCAACTGATTTCTCTCTCCACTATTCTTTGGGTTTTTTTTTCTTTGACTGTTAGAAACCATGGCTTAGTTAACTCAAAAAAGAGTTTCCTAGAATATATGATACACACAATGATATTCTCTTCCACACAAATATAAAATATGAGCAGAGCAAGGCTAACATGCATTTGGGTTTCATCGGGATCCGTGCCTTTTACGTTCCACTTACCTACAGAAGTGATGATGATGGTGAAGTGAGTTTCATCTCGCCTTCCAGTTATGTTGTTGTAAGCACAGCACACATAGTCGGTTGTCTTCTGGGCTATTTTCTCAGATGCAACTTCCAAGCGAGGCCCATGCTTAATGACATATGTGGCATTGTTTGTCCTCTGGATCCAGGAGTAGGTGTTGGGAGGATAAGAATCAGCAGAACAATCAAACAAGATGGCTTCTCCAATATCCACAGTGAACACTTCCCCTACTTTTAGTCCTCTATCAGAATTAACTCGAAGTCCATAAGGTCCATCTACATTAATTGAAAAGAGAAATATAGGGGTGGCATAAATAATCACAATATAGTTATTGAGCTCGGGAGAGTTTAGCACCGTTTTATTTTCATGAAAGTCTTCATGTTAAACTTGGGCAATTAGGTCCTCATTTAGACTCCCAGTAAACAATAAGGACCTAAAAGTGTTTTATTCTGATATCCATGGAAAAGGAAGTCATTTGAGATGCAATTGAACTTGTCTGAAACAGTGAAAGCCTTGAAACTTAGGATATAATTTTACAGACACTGTTATAATAATTGTGGTGCTAAGCTTTTGAGTCATGTATAGATGAATCTACAAGCTTGTTAGACAAATTCCATCTTTCTGAAACTGCAACTGTACTTAAAAGTAATTTTAAAATAAATTATGGCTTCTACTTTCTCTTTGACAACTTTTTTTGAGGATTATCTATTTTTCTTCTAAGTGTTGGGACAGTTGATGCAAATATTTAAAAGTTATATAGTTTTACATGGAGCACAAATTTATGCAAAAAAGTATAGGAGTGTTCCATATTTTCATGACATTTTAAGAGTTAAAAAAAATTTAAAAATCCCTCCCCACAAGATAAGTTTAGATTCCATTTGGAAAAAATACATCTTCATTACTATCAATAAACTACTTAATGATGGATATCCCATTGTGTTTTTTCCTTACATAGCAATATTCCTGGAGCAGGTTGCTATTTCTATGGCACCAGATTGTCTGCCAATAAAGATACATTTTCCATTGTTTCTTCAGAGAACAAATAAGAAGAGATTTAAAAAAAATATTCCCTAGCTATACAGGTTTTTCTCATTCAGTTATATACTGATTTATATTCTAAAAACTTTAAGGTTTAGCTATTGCTGTGCTCATATTTTAGCTGACCATAATCAGTATTTGTTGGCTATTTGCCATCTGAAGGCACTTTAAGTACTTATGCAGACAACAACATTTAATCTTTAAAGCAATCATATGAGGTAATTGTTTTTCCCATTATAAGGTGAAGGAAGAGATATTTAAAAAATTAATTTCCCCATGGTCACAAAGCTATTAAATAGCAGACCTAGGGTTCTAAAATACATGTATTTAATTATTCATATTACCGCTCCAAAAAACTGCCAAGTTGTGTAACTTTCTTTTTCAAAACAGTCTGTTTTTCTAATTGTATTACTTGTTGTACAATAAATTATTATCTAATTACATATTAATTCTGTACTCAATCAAGTAGTCATTCAAAAAATACTTGTTTGAGAGATACTAAGTGCTCCATAATATATTTAATATGTGAGTGATAAAAACTGTATAAGACACAGTTCCTACTCTCGAGGAATTTATAAACTGGATAAGGCTATTGATGGTTTGCTCAGAAACAACCTAATCTCAAATGTGCTGATTTAAAAAAAAGTAACACCTGTTCATCTCTCATTGTGTGGAATAATACAATGTGATGATTAGAGAGTAGGATATCTAGGTTAAATTCTGACTTTTTCAATGATTAGCAAAATGTTCTTCAAAAGTCACTTAAGCTTTTGGGGTCTCACTTTCCTCCCCTTTGCTATAAAAAGATTGACTGGATGACTGGCTGCCAATCTTGCTATCTTTGAAATGCCATGATTCATGCCAGGCTTATTATTTTGGATACTGGCAAGTCAACCTCAAATTTGCCAGTTCCCAGAGTGGTTCTCCATTATGTCAACATTTTCTGACCAACCTACCACTGGGGAGACAAATTTCCTAAGATACAACAGAAACTGAAGGTACATAGCCATAAATTATATTTAGCTAGAGGACATACACTTTACACATATCCGCTTCCTAAAGACACAGAGGCATCTGAAAGAAACCTATAGATTTATATTAATATATATACATGAGATGATCCTGCTTTTAGAAAGCAAACATAAAGGTACCTTCAAATTCAAAGTAATCAGGAACTGGAGATGGAGGGTTCGAGTGCAGAGAAGTGAATGCTCCTTTCCTGGGCCTGTACTAGAACTCCCATACTGTTTTCTCATTTCATGCTGTGATACAGCCTCAGGGGAAAATCTCTGTTTTAGATTTGTATGTTGCAAAACCACTGAATAGTTAGTTGTGTAATGGGGATGAAAAGTTGTTTCCATTCATTCAACCAAAATCAATACTGAGATGCAACTGAATGCATAATACTGTTCTAGGCACTGTGAGGAGACCTGAGGTGCTGGATACATGGTTTTTGTTGCTATTATCTCAGCTCCAGTGCAGCAGCAGGAGTTGATAGCACTCAAGGAGTTGATATCCCCTCAGGTTGATAGCACTGATAGAATATTCGGGAAGCAAAGGTCACTGTCTGGTGGACACTGGTTATGGTTCACACCATAGGAAACCAGTGGGAGGAGTCAACAGAGGTTTGGAATAACAGAAGACCCCACTGTGTCGCAAAGACTGAAGCCTGAGCACATTGCAGAGAGCAGAGCACGGCAGGCTTGAAAGAGAGAAGTGTGGTCACTCAGTACAAGTTTCTGTCTTTCTACTTGTTTTCAGGGTTTATAGGATATAAAACAAATTGTTTGAGAACACACAAAATGATGATATATATTGCTTTCAAAGTTTGCTGACATTACTCAAAACTTCTTTGGGAACTTTCCATTTGGAATCACTTTAGGACTGCTTCCCCCTTGGTTCATGTAGCAGAGTCCACCTGCAATGCAGGAGACCTGAGCTTGATTCTGGGATCAGGAAGATCCCCTGTAGAAGGCAATGGCAACCCACTCCAGTATTCTTGCCTGGAGAATTCCATGGATAGAGGAGCCTGGCGGGTTACAGTTCATGGGGTTGCAAAGAGTCAGACATGACTGGACGAGTAATACTTTCACTTTCTCACAACATAATGGTGCATTCTTAAAAGCAGTAATTCTTCCATTTTGGAGAATGGATTTGATTTGCAGAGAAAACCCACAGTAATTTAAAGTGAAGGTAGGTGAATAAGGTTGATTATCTAATTTAATAATCACTCTAGTTTCAAATAAAACATGTTTCTAAAGAAAGGAATCTGATTGTCCTTATTCATCTACCCTATACTCATTTTTATTTTGATTTTGTTACTTCCTCATTTATTGGATTTCATGATTAGCATAATCTTTTCTCTTCTGTCTGTCTTAATTATCTGCTATATTTGTCTCTTCAGAGTAGCATCAACTATCTCAAACTTCCTCGGTCCCCACACAAGCACCTCTTCCAGTTCTTGGAACCTAATACTTTGATGAATTTAATAAGTTCCTTGCTTCTGATATGATTCATGAAAATTCAGCATATTTCACCTGATTTTATAAGAAATACATTTCACTGCAGAAAATCCTAAAATTCCAGAGAGGCATGAAGATGAAAACTCATTTGTTTTCATCTCAGAGGAAGAATATCCATATTTCAGTGTATGATCTTAAACTCTTTTTCCTTTCTTTTTTTTTGAAATGTTTATGTATTTATTCTTTTTGGCCCCAGTGGGTCTCAGCTGCTGCACATGGGCTTTCTTTAGCTGTGGTGAGTGGGAGCCACTCTCTAGTTGCAGTGCACAGGCTTCTCATCTTTGTGGCTTCTCTTGTTCCGGAGCTCGGGCTCAAGGCGAGTGGGTGTCAGAAGTTGTGGCACATGGACTTAGCTGCTCCGTGGCATGTGGGATCTTCCTGGACCAGGGATCAAACCTGTCTCCCCTGAATTGGCAGACGGATTCTTAGGCAGGAAAGTCCTAAGTCTTCTTTCTTTACCCACCGTCTCTTTCACGCACACAGATGGACTGATCTGTTTATCTATCACATTCTACATACTGCTTACAATCTACTTTCTTCTGACTACACGATGATGCTATTTCCTTCTTCATTACCACGTCAAGCTGACCATCGCTTACTTTGAAATGCAGCCTAGCATATTATTCATGGCATGAGCAATCCAACTGAGGATATTTGGAGTGATTCAACCAGTATGGCCTCTGACATTGAAGATGAAAACAGATGGATAGCTCTATTTTGACTGTGGTTCAGTTTCTTGCCCTTGGCAGAGAACTCCCAATAGAAATGAAACCTTTGCCTCAGGAATGGGTGTTTACTAAGTGACTTGTAAAATCATATATCATCTGTTCTGTTTAACAATTTATGGCTGGGTGGGAACAGAACCTAAATTTCCATCATGATGTTGCTTGCCATCCTGTTTGGGAGCAGATGGTAAGTATTTACTGTGAATGACCCTTTTTTCTTTCATATTTATCACTTAGAGCACTTCCCCATGAGCGGTGCCATATGTTGTACACAAAATGCAGTCGTTACTGGGTTATAATTTACAACACAGATGGACATACACATTTCATGAATGCAAGTAGATACCTGCCTGCATTACTGGCTTGACACTGTATTCCACCAAGGCCAACACCAGGTTATTACATCATAACCTCAACAATACACTGTCACTCTTGACTTTGTTATGCTTCTTTTCTGCCAAAATAAAAAGCAATTCCTGTTTTTGTGAAGGAAATTGTCATAGAAACAGCACCTCAAGAAAACAGAAGAGGTGATTCATGCTGAAATTCTACATTATGATGTGGGCCTCTATGTGGGAATATTGAAATATCACATTTACTACATTATTGAGGAACTTTGCTAAAGGTCAGAAAAAACAAACAAAAGCAAATGGAGGGCAGCGTGAGGGCCCTGTTGAGAGGAAGGGCCCAGCCGTGCAGTGCTGCAAAAATGGCCGGAGCAGGCAAGGGGTGAGACGAGAGCCACTCCGGAGGAGTCGGGGGCTGGTGGCTCTTTAGACGACATCGAGGGGTCCCCTAGAGGATGAGGAGGCAGCCCCAGATAGATGGTAGTCCTTTGCTGGATGCTGGGTGTCTGAGTGGGGGGAGGAGCCTTGGGGATGTCCATTTGGCCCTGACTTCAGAGAAGCCCCTGAAGAAGAATGAGAGAAAGAAACAGGATCCTGAGGGGTGGCTGAGAGGATGCCCCACTGGTTAAGGGGTCCGTTGTGT